GCGGCCTCAGTAGTGGCTTGCAGGCTCAGTAGTTGTGGCGCACCGGCTTAGCTGCTCCATGGCATGTGGGATCTTCCCAGACCAGGGATCGAACCCGTGTCCCCTACATTAGCAGGCAGATTGTTAACCACTGTGCCATCAGGGAAGTCCCCCTTAGGTCCAATTCTGTCAACAACTCTGTGGTGGGTATTGTCATTCACCATTTTCAGATGAGGAAACTGAAGTTGGGGAAAGTTGAGCTTATCTTGTCCCTGGGCACAAAGCTAGGGTAGCAGAGATCAGCCACAGATCTGGTTGGCCGCAGACCCCAGCAGTCTCTATCCCTTACCCCTCCACCTCACCTTTTATTAACATTTGCCTGCTTTCCCAGCAGGGAAAAAAAAAAAAAAAATCAAAAGGGAAAAGACCTCTGTACTCCGTGTTCAGTGGAGGAAGCTGACATTGGCTTTAGCCGCTGAGGCCTGAGAAGGTGGATGAAGGCTTCCCTGAGGAGGAGAAACTTGATCTGAGCTTGAAGAACAGCGAGAGACTGGGGAGGAGGGAGCTTGATTATCTGGTAAGCAGAGCCCAGTGGGAATCTAGTCATTCAACAAAACTTTATCAAGAAAATGTTTGAGCGCTTCCCTGGTGGTGCAGTGGTTAAGAATCCACCTGTCAGTGCAGGGGACACGGGTTCGAGCCCTGGTCCGGGAAGATCCCACATGCCGTGGAGCAACTAAGCCCGTGCGCCACAACTGCTGAGCCTGCGCTCTAGAGCCCATGAGCCACAACTACTGAGCCCGCACGCCTAGAGCCCGTGACCCACAGCAAGAGAAGCCACCGCAGTGAGAAGCCCACGCAATGCAACAAAGAGTAGCCCCATTCGCCGCAACTAGAGAAAGCTCGCGCTTAGTAACGAAGACCTAACGCAGCCAAAAATAAATAAGTAAATAATTTTTAAAATAAATAAATAAAAATAAAGCCCATACACAGCAAAGACCGAATGCAGCCAAAAATAAATTAATTAATTTATAAAAAAAAAAGAAACTGTTTTAAGTATAGCTAGTAATTTGTGCTCGCTTTAAGGGGATGTCTGTGGGGGTGAGGAAGGGAGAAGGGATGAGGTTGGAAAGACAAGTTGGGAACAGTAGACTCAGTTGGGAACAGTTTACACTTTATCCTAAGTGCAATATGAAACCATCATGGGGTTTCAAGTGGGCAGTGATGACTGGATTTGCATTTTAGAAAAATATATCTATAGTGTGATACATTGAAGGGTAAAGAGTAGAGGCAGGGGGGATTTGGAAGGAGGAAACAGGAAGTCAAAATAAAGTAACTGATTCCAGGTCTGTGCATAGGGGTGTGAAATGCCTGGCCCTGATACTGAGATCTCATTGTGCAGGTGGGGGGATGGGGGGAGGGTTAAGAGAACAAATTCTGGACTTAGGCCTATGGTCAAAACCTGTCTCTGCCTCTTTCTAGCCATAAGACCTTGACTTCTTCTGAAACTCATTTTATAAAAAGTAAGAACAGTAATTCCTGCAGTGAAGGACAAGCTGTCATGGTGTATGACTAGGGTTTGGCCCAGAGGCCACAACTTTGTCAAAGTGAGTTTTCTCCCTGCTTCCAATCTAGGGCTTCTTCCTGGTGCCTGGGGGTTCCCCTGGCAGAGAAAGAAGCCAAGTCTCACCAACAGTGGCTCCAGAACATGCTTTATAAACTCACCTAGGACAGACAGATTGAAGTGAGCCCCAGGCAGGGTTGGGGGCATTTCTGAGTACCAGAGCAAAGGGGACTTCCAGGAGACATGGATGGCAATCCAGGATAGCTTAGAGCCAATTGGGGAATGAATCTTTGGGAACTAGTTACAGATGGGTTCTTCTCTCCTCTGAGAGATAAGAATAGGACATATAGGGGCCAGAACCTGTGACAACCCTGGGAGGGGGTCCCCAAATTCAGGAAAGTATTCCAAAGCCCAGGAGAGGAAGAGAAGGAGCTTCTGTTGGTCACCTGGAACCACTAGCAATCCATGTCCATGACAAATTAACCAGTGTGAAGTTTTTCAGCCTTCTAAAACAGTGTGAATTGGGGGCCCTCCTGTAGTTAAGAATTCTCAGGGGAGGTTGCCCCCTTTCCACTTAGTACTAAAGTTAATTGCAGGCAACTTCTTTGTAGTCCCCTGGTTTGAGGGAAAGAGGTTAGGAAAAGGAGGGGAAGGTTTATTTCTAGTTTGCCCTAGGTGTGGGCATAGTCCTTTGGGGTGCTGGCCTTACGGAGAATGTTCCAAGTAGAGCCCCACCATAAGCTCATGGAGCCCTTACAAACCAACTCCCAGGTCCCCCAGGTAAGGAAAATGCCTTCAAGGTGAACACCAACTACTGGGCTTTGCTTACCTTTGTAGTTTCCTGCATTCATTCATCCATCCATCCATTCATTCATTCATGCCTGAACATTTCTCATGTGTTTGCCAGCTCACGGACACATTAATCTTTAAAACTATATGTTTTGTCTAGTATTTTTAGTTGTTTTCAGCAAGAAGCTTAGCCTGAGTCTCTAGGCCACCATGTTGCCAGAAAACCCAATGGGCAGTTTCAGTCCTTATGTGACTTGATTTTTCTGCTGCATTTGGCCCCTTTGACCACTCCCTCCCTTTGCTCTGTTTTGTTTTTCTCCACCACTCTGGTCCCTCCCTTTTGGTCTCCTTCACAGGCTTGTCTCTCCTCCTCTCCCTGTTCCTTAAATGCTGGGTCTCCAGGCCTTAGCCTCTGCTTCTCCTCTTGTTCCTGCGTATCTCACCACTCCCTTGCCTTTGATCTGTGACTCCCACATCTCTCTGGTCCAGACTGTCCTGACTTCCTGACCCTCAGACCCAGCTGCTGCCAGCCTCCTTGCCCTCTGAAGGTGTCACGGGCACCTCAAGTTGAACACATACAAAACCCAACTTATGACTTCCCCCACACCTTACCCCCATCACAGGCTAAAAATACTACATCCCCTATATTTCTTACCAGTCACCCAAGCCAGACTCCTGGAAACTCTCCCTCTCATCAGGTCCTCACACCAGTTCATCACCAAGTCCTGTGGATTGTGCCTCACATCTCTCTGTCCTTCGGCACTGCTTCTGCCCTAGGTCAAGGTACCAGCATTTGTTGCCTGAACAGCCCTAACTGCTCCAGGTCTAACTGGTGCCCCCCTGCCTTGCCCCTTCCAGTCCAAACTTGATACAGCAGCCAGTAATTCATCTGAAACAAGTCTCTAGGCAATCACACCTAAAATCCTTCAGTGGCTCTACCCAAGACAAAGTCCAAGCTCCCTGGTATAGCACTCAAGGACCTTTATGAGCTGACTTTTGTCTTGATGAGGGTCCTCCCCCAATTCTACATGAAACTGCTGGCTCTTCCCTGCCTTTGTTCATGCTGCTGCCTCTGCTGAGAAGGCTGTGTGTCAGGAGAAACCGCACAGTAAGCACACAGGGACAGTTTAATATAAAAATCTTAAACTGTAATAGGGGGTTGAAGGAATGAGGGATTGGCTAGTAAGAAGCGAAGAGAACTCTAAAGAACATAGGAGTAGCAGAGTCCTAGGGCTGAGATAGAGAGCCCAAGGAAGAGGCCCTCACCTCCCACTCCTGCCCAAGGCTGAGCCCCAGACCCTGCTGGAGAGGGCACGGCCAGTGAAAAGGGGGAATTCAGAGCTAAGAAGCAATGAAGGCGATAAAGGATAACCAGTACAGGCCCAATGCCCCTTATCCACCTTGTGCAAATATTTCATTTTTCAAGGCCCAGTTCAAGTACCACCTCCTTCACAAGGACTTTCCTGGCTCTTCTGCCCCTTCCATCTGGGTAGAAATGATTCCTTTCCCTTTGTGAGTATAGAATCCTCCCCGACCCTGACATGCATAACTGTACCCTAGCCATCCTTCTACTGGGAGACTTAGGGTGGTTGACTGCATTTTCTGTTTACTTGTTTACCCCCACCTAGGGTCGCCAGAAGAAATCCAGGACACCCAGTTCAATCTGAATAGCAGATGAACACTGTTTGTGTAAGTATATCCCAAGTACTGCGTGAGACATACTTACTAAAAAAATAAGTATTGCTTATCTGAAACTCCAGTTTAACTGGATGTCCTGTTTTTATTTGCCAAACGGGCAGCCCTTCCCCCACCTCCACCCCCAACTGTGGTCTCCTTGATGGTAGAACATTTTTCTAGCTGACCTCAGAATCCCTATAACTGGCCCAAGACACTACTGTTAGTGCTCAATTAATGTTAGAAGGTCACAGGGCTGAGAATGACTGGAGGGAGTTGAGGCTGCAGACAGAGACCAGTTAGGAGGATGAGCAATAAACCATTCCACAAATTAGGAAGACTTCAACAGAATAGCATTGGGAAGAGAGAAAGTGGGGTGGGCTTGCAGGATCTAAGGATCTGAGAACTAATGGAAAAGGGAAGTGACAAAGCTCAGGGAGTCTAGGCTGTTGCCCAAGTTTCTGACTCGTGTCCCTGGATGGAGGTTGGTGCCATTCACTTGGGAGGGAACCCTGGAGGAGGCTCAGAGGCTGGAGAGCAGGGAAGCTCATCGATGTGGGGCTTAGAGCAGGTAGAGAAGGGTGGAGAGAGCATCTGAAGGAATGAATGGAAGACATCTAGGGCAGGTAAGTTCAGTTTGAGGTTTCTGAGGCTATGCAGACAGAAGTATTGGAAATACAAACAGAGCTTAGGAGAAAGGTTAAGCTGGAGATACAGTGAGCGCATCATTAGCCTGGAGGCGGTAACTGAAACCATGGGAGTTGGTGACATTGCTCAGGGAAAATAAGATGGGGAAGGAAGGTCTGTATCAGAGCCCTGACGAACACTTAAGAGGCAGAGAAAGGAAAAGGAACCCAAAAGGAGTTTGAGAATGAGCAGGGGTAGGAGAAAATCCAGGAGAGTATGGAATAGAGAGTCAAGAGAAGACAGGTGTTCCAAGAGGGTTGACAAAGTTGGGCACCACTGAGAGTGCAAAGGACTAAAGGCTGAGAAGTGGCCTTTGGATTTAGGCCACTGGGGACCGCAGCAAGAGCTCTTTTAGTGAAGGAGAGGTGGAAGTCGATTATATATTTATATATTTGTAATCACAGTGTCATTTTTTTATGCTGTGATATATTCAAGTGAGTTTAAATGCAGAGGGAAAGAAGACATTCAGTAGAAAAAGGATGAAGAATAGGGAGGCTTGTAAATAATGGAGACAGAGAGCCCTGATATGGGAACCTGAGCACAGACAGAGGAATTAATCTAGCTGCAGGAGGACATTAATAATAGTACCTAGAACAGGGCAGGAAAGCCCAAGGGCCATGGACTCCTACGGAGTCTCTGAATGAGCTTCGGAAAGTCTGTGGGCTCCCTCAAATTGTTCACCAGATTTACACATTGGTGTTTTTTTCAGCAGTGAGGTGGGAGGTGGGGAGGATCCTTGGCTTTCATCAGTTTCCGTAAGGACTGTACAACTCCACAACAGGTTAGGCACCACCCCTGTGAACAAGAAAAGTGATCTCACATGGCACAAATTCTCTTAGATCTTTTCTCTGATCTCTCAGCTTTCTACCCTACCTTTCCTTTTCAAGATGAGGCCTCGGTTAGGCAGCCAGTCCACATGAACTCTCCGGGCTCTCTAGCTGGGGGAAATGCAGCAGTCCCTGGACAAGAGAGGAGGAACGCCATTGGCCGGGGCAGGAGGAGTGCATGGATCCCCGAACCTTGATTCTGGATGAAACTAATCTAGAGGGATGTTTGGGTGACCCCTGAAGCTGGAAAAACTGTAATTTCAAAGTCATCCGTAGTTTTCTGTCTTGCAAGAGGTGGTGACTTGATACCCCTTTGGAGGAGACCATACCTTAATTCTGGGAAGATCATTCAAGTGGGCAACGTCATTTTGCAAATATGAAACAGACTACAGTCAAAATGGAGAGTCTAGGGAACACCCTGGCGGGCCAGTGGTTAGGACTCCACACTTCCTCTGCAGGGGGCATGGGTTCTATCCCAGGTTGGGGAACTAAGATCCTGGAAGCCTTGTGGTGCAGCCAAAAAAAAAGGAGATTCTAGAGCTACCTGTGGCCCCCGAGGAGCAAAAGTGCTCTACCTGGTGAGGTCATGTGCCTGGTGACCTCTGCTAAGTTGTAGGCAGAGAAGAGGAGCTCTGCAACTTGTTTGAGGAAAACAGCTTCACTTATTTTTAAGAGGGATTTGGTTCATTGTGGGCTGCAGATTGAGACTAGTTCTTGCGGGAATGTGTTCCTTTTGGAGAAGCTGCTGTTTCATCCACAATTTTGTAAGCTGTCGGGCACAATCTCTTTGGGGCCCAGAATGCAGCCTTGAGTCGGGGGGACCCTACTCCCCAAGGACTGACAATTTGGGGAGTGTTGAGAGCTAGCGTCTTTGGCTGGGGTTCTGACCTGGCTCTCTCTCTGAGCCTTGTCAGACGTGGCTTCAACCCATCTCCTGTAAGTGGCTCTGAGAGCACAGATGTCCACTAAGGGGTAGGGCCTGGAGGGTTTGAGAACTCTGCCAGGCTTTCGAGTCTTTCCAGCAGGGGCTCCCTGGTCGCAATGACCCTGGAATTGACAGAACCCCCCCTTCACCCCCGGCCAGGACCAGGGCCCAGGCCTTCATGAGGTGTCTCCAAACTGTATGGCACTGCTGCCATTTTCTTTGGCTCGAGGTGGGGGTTGGCGACTGAAGATCCTGAATCAGTTTGGAGGCAGAGAGAAGGGCCAAGGGGGTGTTTGAGGGCAGCATGAGAGCACCAAAGTTTTGGGGGCACCTAGAACTGGGGCAGTGAACACAGAAGAATGGAAGCACAGACTTGTTTCTCCTCCTTGACCCGGAATGCATACAGCCCTCAGAGAGCCCGTGCCAGCTCCTCACTGTAGCCTGGGAGAAGGCGGCCCCTGTGCCAAAGCGGGCAGGCACTTAGGCAGCTCGAAGGAATTTTGGTTAATGCGGTCAAATGCCTGAGGGATCCCAGCCTCAACTGCCTCACTCTCATGGTGCCTCGTGCACCCCTGGCTGCAGCTACTGCCTCTGTCCTCACAGCTGCCAAAATCAATCTCCAGCCCAGACCTGCCTCCTCAGCTCCAGACCAGTACAGCCCATTGCCTCCTGACGACCCCTCTGGATGTCCCATGGTTCCTCAGACCCAGCATGCGTCCAAACACATATCCTGATCTTATTTGCAAAGAAAAAAAATCATGTAGGACAAATTCATTGGGCCCAGGAAACAAGTTTTCACAGGACACACACAGAAGCTCAGAGGGATTGCACTGACTTCTTAGGTATGACTTGGGGACAGTGTGGAAGGCCAGGGTCAGCATTAACCTCTTCTTCCTTCCAGATGAGAGTGTGTACCTGTTAACTTCTTGTCCTTTTCATACTGTTTGCCAAACTGAACTTAAATATTATTTATGTAAATTATTTATTGTCTGTCTCTCATGGTTTAAGCTTAAGAGCAGAGATCATGGGTTCACTTCTGTATCCCTGCTGTCTACCCAGCAGCTGACGTAAAATAATAAATGTCTGTTGAATGAATAAGTGAATATCCTTGTTCATTACCCAAGATGCAGGTCTCTCTAGGCACCCTCAGTCTTTTCCTGCTTTCTTATCCCCATGATGCTCTGTGCTTCATCCCCCCAAACCAGCCTCCCACTGCACCCTCTTCCCCACCCTCAGCCTCTTCATCATTTGACTTGGGCTGTTTCACGGAATGTGGGTCGTGAGCTCCCCATGCTGGGCCATCTGCAAGCACAGGCAGTATATGCACCTGTCAGGGTGGCCTGGACTCTGATCAGTGACAGTGGGGTGGGGCAATGTATGGTTCTCTGCATCTTCACCATGAAACAAGGCTCGCAGCATGCCAGAGGTCTCAAGGGTATGGCTTTCTCCACCAGTAACCCCAGGCTCCAACCGCTGGGGACTGTGCAGGGGTTGTGAGCTGGCTGGCCTGGTGGGACTGGTGAACACACCTTTGTCACTCACTCTGCCTGTGTTCCATGCCCCTCATTTCCCAGAGCTGCTGGGTGGGCACAAGCAGTCCCGGGCCAGGCCTATGACTGCTGAGTGAGCCTGAAGTTGTGAGTGGGATGGTCAGGGAGTGACCTCCATCCGGCCCCCACAGCCCAGCAAAGGATCTGACAAACCACAGAAGTAAATAAATAACTTAGAAGTAATAAATAGGGGTCCAGCTCCCACGAGTGAGTCCAAGGCCCACTCCAGCACAGGCACTTCAGCAACACAATTGCAATGTGTCTCCAGATCTGTCCCCCCAGGCCTGGGCTGAGGCTGCGACCTGACACATCTGGGTTTTCCAGAGGAGTCATCCTGGGTCCATGGCCTGGTCACTGCCAGCGTCTGTGAGCAGTGGGTCCTCGGGTCTCCACAGCTGAGGTTTCTGGGGTCTGTGGGGCTGAGGCCGGCAGGGTGAGAGCCCTGGGGCCGCTTGTCAGTCGTGCCTCTATCTCCGCAGGGCTGATGTCCGTCACTCACCCGGCTGAAGCCTCCGTCTCCGGCCAAGGCCCCTGGCCGGTCCCAGGCAGTTAGACCCACAGGTAAGGGTGCGTCTGCACACCCTGGGAGTGAGCCCTCAGCCCAGACAGCCGCAGGCAGTGGCCGAGAGGCGGTCCACGGTCCTCCAGGTGCTGTTGACGTCCATGAAGGAGACGGCCTCGTAGCGCGTGGGTCGGCAGCAGGGCTGGCTGACGGGCCGCGAGCCGGGGGGCGGCCGCAGGGCCCCGGCGCCCAGCAGGCTGGCCAGACTGAGGTCATGCGGGGAGCGCGCGCGGCGGCAGGAGCCGCTGCAGAAGCGGAAACGCACCAGCTCGTCGGAGTGGTGGCCCAAGCCGAGCGCGCGCACCGGCACCAGCTGAGAGCGCAGGCGGCAGCCCCGCACCCCCGCGGCCCGCGCGCGGCTCCCCCGGCTCCCGCGGCCGCCCCGGCCCCCAGCCCGCGCAGCGCGGGGCCCTCGGGGGGCAGCGGGCGAGGGCGAGGGCGCGGGCGGCGGGGGCGGCAGCCGCCGGGCTCTTCCGCCGCACAGACCGGCCGCGCGGCCCCCTGGAACGAGACGCAGTCACGCGCGGGTCCCCGGCCAGCCCGCCCCGCCCCGCGCCCTCGCCCTCTCACCTACCAGGCAGGGGACCCGCGGGGGTCGCCGGGGCCGGCGCGGGGCCTTCTCGGGGGACCGGGCTGCTGGGCGCGGGGCCCAGGGAGGCCTCGCCCTCGGCGATGCTGCTCAGCAGGGCCAGAGCGGCCAGGGTAGGCCACAGGGCAGGCTGCTCGGAGAGACGAGGTGGAGCCTCAGGGGGTAGGAGGAAACCCTGGTGGGCGCAGGGAGGGGCTGGGGCCGGATGGAAGGGCTCGGGTTGGAGGATAATGGATCAGCTGCCCCGGGGAGCCCGGGTAAGGAATCACCACAGGAGGGCATTGACCTTCCTCCTTCCTCCTGGCCCCTCCCTGACCATTCCCCCACCTACTTCTGACCCCTGCCCAGGAAGCCCTGCTCTCCCTCCCTAGTCAAGCCACCCTTCCTCGATACCAGGTGGGAGTTACTGGGAGAACCACTCACCTGCCGCCTAGGCCGGGGCCAGAGGGGCAGCACAGAAGGGCTTCCACGTCCAGGCTCCATCTCTGTCAACACCAGGAACTCCCATCAGCCGTAGTTGACCTGTTCCCCCACCCTCCTCTTGAGGCAGCTTGGAACATTGAGAGATGAGTTATCCTTTGAGCAGGTCATCTCTCCACTTCAGCTTCTCCAGATGAGGGACAAGGGGCTTGGGCAGCTGGGCTCAACCCAGGAGAAGTGGCTGCATCGAGAACCTATTTCGTGGTGCTTTGCACCTGTTCCCTCTTTCAGACCTCACAACTCCATGAGGTAAATGGTATTATCCCCATTTTCCAGATGAGCAAACAAGGCTCAGAGAAGCTCAGCGATTATCCAAGGTCACAAGGGTAGACCCACGCAGCCATGCGGGGAAGGGGGCCTTCCTGCTCTGTACCGCAGGGCTGGAGAAGGGAGCAGCTGGACACCCTTGAGCTCACAGAGAGCCTTCTCTCCATGCCACAGAGGAGGAAGTTGTGGCCTGGGGGAAAATTAGGGTGCTTGCTGGTTGACCTGAGTTATCTGATGATAGCGAGGCCCAGGCTTCAGCCTGCGCTGCCCACCCAACAGATGGTGGAGGGTGATGAGCCCTCTAGGAACGTGAGGCCTGGGCCATGGCTCCCTATGGCCACCAGGGGGTAGCATTTGCCAAGCCTGTGGACTCAAACGGGGGGTGGGCTTTTCCCCCACCTTCAGCTAGACTCAGGCCCCAGCAACTCCCTGGAGTTGCTTCTACACGAGACTGGCCTCCGAGAGCTTAGCCACCCTGAGAGCTGGTCCAGGTCTGTACCCCTTCCAGTTTCCCCTGGATCTGGCAGCCTGGCCCTGCTCCTAGAAGTTTCCCCCACGAACCATCCTTCCTGAGCCCAGCTGGGCTTTCGGAGTCCCACCAGGTTTTGTGAGCCCACATTGCCTGGCACTCCCAAACACCTCTCTGGAGCCTCATGAGCCCTCACTAGCTGGCCTGCTCTTTGGTCCCAGCAGTCACCTCCACCCCGACCCCCGAGCACACAGAATGTCTGCATACCTGTGGGCCAGTCCTCCCTGGTGAGGTCCTCCAGGGCCAGGTGCGCTCGGCTAACGGAATACGGGCCTGAGGAGCCAGGCTAGTGACGGTTCTCACTGATGGAGGGAAAGCCCGGCAAGGCAGGGTTAAAGGCCTCCTGCACTAGGGGGAGCCCAGGAGCAGGTCTCTTGGGACGTAGGCAGCTCAGGCCCTACGTATCCCTCCCGGCAATCTGGGGCCACTTGGTCCTCCAGCCCTTGCCTTTCCTCCCCATCTACCAGCCCCCGATACTCACCACGGGGGTTCTGTGTTGTGTTCTCCCAGGCACCTTTCCTGGGACCAGTGCTGGGCTTTCCCTGCAGCTCAAAAGGCTCATGCCCAGGGCTGTGCACCTGGCAGTGCCCCTTTTAGCCAAAAGCTTGGCAGCCAGTCTGAGCCCTGTAGCAGCAGCGGAAGCCTCACGTTACAGCGGGCCAGCAGGGCTAGCACAGTCCAACGAGCGACAAGAGGGACTGCGAGGGGCTGGGAGGGGCGGAGAGCTGAGCAGCAGGCCCAGGAGAGGGAGGATGTAAGAAAGGAGTGGAGGGGGACGACCCTGGCCGCTCCCTCTAGCCCCTGGGCTGGGACGAGAGGTGGGCAAACAGGTCGGCTTACCGCAAGTGCAGGGCTCTGGGTCTGGGACACAGCGAGGGCTGGGACCCGAGGGACCTGCTGCTGGTGGAGCCCGTGGACCGTGTCTGGGGGCTGGGCCCAACTCCATCCCTCAGCAGCCTCATGCCCGCCGCTGTCCGGTGTCAAATTCCAGCCCCGGCGTCACCGGATCCTGGGGTGGGGCCCGAGCACCCCCCGCCCCGCCCCACCTTTCAGGGCTCACCTGGCCATTCCACCCTCTGGAATCTGGTCCCCCTGGCTCCACTAGGTCCCCCGAGGTGGGGTGGGGTGGAGATGCTGGGAAGGGCCCCCAGGACAGAGTGGAGAACCCAGGCGGCGCAGCGGCATGGACACTGAGTGTTCAGAGTTTGTAGACACTGGGAGTAGGGAGTTGGGAGGCCGGGCAGAGGGCGGGAGAGGGAGGGGACAGGCCGGTCCCTGCCTTGGCCCACCGGCCTTCGGGTTCCCGCCGTCCTGGCTGGCCGCTCTGCACTAGATGCTCTCTCTGATCCACCGCTAGTTTCGTCTCCCAACAGACCCACTGCATTCTTTGAGTCCAAGAGGCACTGACTGCGCTGGGGCTTTCACGGTCTGACCCGGCTCCTGCGGCGCCGCCGCTCCCCTCCGCTGCCGCTTCTCTCCGCTGCCGCCTGGGGCTTGGAGTACACACACACCTGCAAACACCGCTGCTCAGCCTGGCACAGCGGCGCTGGTAGGAGTGGGTGCCAGGGGCTGAAGAAGGGGAGGGTCCCGGCGGAGGAACTGCTGCACTGAGGCTTGAGGTGGGAGCTGGAGGCTAGTATTTCAGATGCCTAATTATGGCAGTTCGGCTGGTGGGTGGGATGGAGGTTGGATGGGTAACATGGATAGAGGTAAGGAAAGGCCAGATCCTGTGTGTCCTAATAGGGAGTCTGGACTTCATCCCAGTGGTACGGGGGACCACTGAAGGGTTTCAGGCAGGAGAAGGGCGTGATCCAACGTGCATGTCAGCGGCTGGCTCTGGCTGTGGTGGGGAGGGTGGTTTGGAGGTAGTCAGGAGGCTGCTGGGGGAGAGAGGATTCTGAAGCTGAATTGTGGGGAGAATGCGGGGCCTTGTGCGCTCTTTCAGGAACACATCTTTTTGAAAACTCAGTGGGTGCCTGATTGGATGGGGTGAGGAAGTAGGATGGCATGCCTTTGGCCTGGGTGACCAGGAGGAGGGGATGCATTCTGGCAGCTGGGGCTCCTGAAGGAGGGGTAGGTTGGGGGCAGGAGCTCATCAGTTCAGTGTTGGACGTGCCAGGCTGGAGGGACCTGTGGATTATCCCAGTGGAAATGTTCAGGAAGTGACTGAGTTCGTAGCCTGGAGCAAAGCGAAGAGAGCTGGGCTGGAGATGGTAATTTGGGAATCATTGACCAACTAACAGCTGGAAGCCGTGGGTGAAGCTGACAGTGCTCAGGGAACATGTGTGGACCAGCTGCACCCTGGCTGTGCATCTGAACCACCTGTGGGCCTTTTAAAACTACGTGAGTCTGGGCCTCACCCCAGAGCTGAATCAGAATGGGCATGTGCAGTTTTCCACATCTGCACAGGTGACTCTGGTGTATGGCCAGGTGGAGAACCGCAGCTTTTGGGAGGGCAGTTAATGTGCAGTCGTGGGGACTAGAAGCCAGACTTTCCCAGGCTCGGCAGGACCCCTGTGGGACAGGAGGCCAGGCGGTGAGCAGCTCTGTGTTCTGCTGCCTCCCCAAGCTGGCTGCCCTGGGGGGTGGGTTCTGCCCCAGGGCTTTATCAGCCAGGGCTGCTGCTTGCTGGCATGCAGCCTATGCCCTGCACAACTCCAGGGGGCACCATTCATGTAGGACCCAGGAAGCATTGGAGTTTGCATCATAGTGGCTTGTTTACAGCAGAATCGAAGGGAGTTTCTGGGTCTCCCTGTCCCTCAGTCAGAGCCTCACTTTCCCCTCGGCTGAGGAGGCTTCTGTCTGAGCACAAAGCGCGGCAGTAAAGGGGCACGTGGGAAGTCAGAAGGGAATGGCACTTGGATTGGGATGTCAGGTAAGAGGTGACGGGGCCAGTCAGCCCCACCTGTTGCCACGTGGCAGCTCTGGCAGGAAGCTCACTCCCAGGTCTACGGCCTCAGGGGCAGGAGTGCGTTGGCCTTTCTCAGGCCTGCCTGGGAATGCTGGGGAAGGGAGAGAGCAGATTCCAGGGCTCTAGGGGGTAAGGTTGGGATGTCATTTCTAATGTTTGCCAGCGGGGCTTCCCTGGTGGCGCAGTGGTTAAGACCAATGCAGGGGACATGGGTTCGAGCCCTGGTCCGGGAAGATCCCACATGCAGCGGAGCAGCTAAGCCCGCGAGCCACAACTACTGAGCCCACACGCCTAGAGCCCGTGCCCTGCAACAAGAGAAGCCACCACAGTGAGAAGCCCGCACACCGCAACGAAGAGTAGCCCCCCTTCGAAGCAACTAGAGGAAGGCCCGCTCACAGCGACAAAGACCCAACTCAGACAAAAATAAATAAAAATAAAATAATAATAATAAAATAGGGCGTCCCTGGTGGCGCAGTGGTTGAGAGTCCGCCTGCTGATGCAGGGGACACGGGTTCGTGGCCCAGTCCGGGGGGATCCCACATGCCGCGGAGCGGCTGGGGCCATGAGCCATGGCCGCTGAGCCTGCGCGTCCGGAGCCTGTGCTCCGCAACGGGAGAGGCCACAACGGTGAGAGGCCCGCGTACCGCAAAAATAAATAAATAAAATTAAAAAAAATAATAATAATAAAATAAAATTTAAAAATAATAATAAAATAATGTTTACCAGAGGGGGCCTAGAGATGGGCTGTGCCTTCCTGTTCTGTGCAGAAAGAGGGGTCCTGAGGGGAGACCGGGTGCCTGTGTGCTAAGGGGGAGGGCGTGTCTTTCCAGGGCTCAGCGGAGCTGCCAGGAGTGGTTTAGGTCTGTGTGCTGGGGGCCCGGCCGTGCAACTTTCCTGTGCTTGCAGGAACCTCTGTCCCTGTAGTGCTGGGGCTGTGGTGACCCAGTGGCACTGTGCACGGGGTGGTGCTTCAATCCCCTGAACTCTGGCTCCTGTAGGAGGCAGCAGGGTAGATTCTGGGGCATGTCCTGATGCCCCTAGACTGCCTCTCTTAAGGCAAAGAGGGTGCAGGATGGCTATAGGACAGGAGAGGCTCCAGAAGGCCCCTAGGTGGCCACCCAGGTCCTGTAGCTAACATGAGAAGTGAAAGGGACCCAGGAGGGCTGGAGAGATGGCCCTTGGGTTTAGCATACTTGCTGAGGCCCCAGGTTCCTGTTTCTTCCAGGAAAGTCAGAGAAAGCAAGAGGAGGCCAGGTTCAGGGAAGAGCTTTATTGCTTCCATGATGGCTGCTCAGGATGGCTGCCACAGCCTGGATGAGGTCCTTGAGCCTCACTTCCCTCTGGTCCAGGCTAAAGGCAGAACCCAAGGACCTGGCAGTCTCACTGCTGAAACCCAGAACAGCTGCCAAGTTGTCACTCCAGGCCTGGGGCACTGTCCTATGGGTCGGCTGCAGTTGGGGAGGGAGGGGCATTCCCATCAGGTTGGGCCAGGCCTCACCGCCCGAGCTCCGAAGTTCTCTCCACTCAAGCCCAGGGGCGTCTTGTTGGCTTAAAGGATGGCTCCAGCGTTTCTCTGTGGGACAGCTGGGGGCTGCTGAGTGGGACTATCTCATCTGCTCCCCAAGAAAGGCCAAACAGTGTCATGAGCTGGAAGGGGCTGGCCTGAGATCCTGCCCATCTCCCTGTAGCCCCAGAGCAGGGCACAGGCTAGTCCTGGCACTCCCACTCTGCAGGGAGCCCATTGGTACCACTGCCTGAGGGGCCCTTTGGTGGGTCTTCTGCACGGTCAGTAGACCCAACTTGACATCTCCAACCTTATTGAAAAATAAATTATCCCTACCCTCCCCCCACCCCAAATTCACAAAATGATAATACACCGAACACTGATTGGAGAAATGATTCTGGCAGCAGCCTTGCTGCCTAATGTCCGCCTCCTGCATGCTGGGCCCGCTGGGCATGGCCAGTGGCCTCCTGGCCCTCTGGCTTCAAGGACCCAGGCTGACAGTGAGGCCTAGTGCTGGCCTCTGAGGCTGGGCTCTGAGCAGACACAACTCTGGCTGCCCCACCAAGGCCTCACCACCCCTGGGGCCACTTGGCACTGTCCTTCTCTGGGTCTGAAGGCTCCCACACCTCTCAGGCAGAGCCAGACCGAGGCCAGTGAAGTGGGCAGGTGGCGGTGGCTGGACTTCTGTGGCCACGTGCTGGGTCCACCTCAGATGCCACTGGTTAGGTCAGTTATGACGTGCGCTTTCACCAGCTTCCGCAGGAACTCCTTCTCTCGCTGAATGTTGTGTGTCCAGGACTGAAAGGAAAGATGGAGCCGTGGTCAGCTGGGCAGCCCAGGTGGCTGCTGGGATGTGGCCCTGCTAGAACGCAGGTTCCCAGGGCTCCATGCCCTCTTCCGACCACCACCCTCCGATGCTCTGACTGTGGGAGGTCTGCCCTAGAGGTGCCACAGCTCACCCTCCTCCCCAGGACCTGGAGAAAATAACCTTCTAACCCCTTTCCCCGGCCTCTTGACTTCTTCCAAGTCTTAGAGATGTAGGCTTTCCAACCTTGTTCTCACTCCTTCCACCTGTCCTTGCCCGGCGGCTTCTCCGGGCCCCTAGGTCCTAGGCACCCTGAGGTCAGCCGATGTGAGTCACTTAGGTCCGGCCCAGGCCTGGGGTTGGGCCCTGCTGGAAAGGGAACCGTGTGGGGCCGCTTACTCATCCTCTGGCCTGCTGCAATGCACTCTCCAGGCCTGCGGGCAGCTGATGAAATCCCGCCTCTCAGACCAGAGGAGCCAGGGGGCCAGAGGCTCACCTTACGGTTAATATGAAAATTGCAGGGAAGACGCTGCCTTCCAGGGCTTTCCTGCGGAAGACTGCACCCAGGCTCAGGTTCTTTCCTTTCCCCAGTACTCTCACCAGGAAGCTGTGAGGACTGAGTCTCGCAAAGAATGAAACAGGATCGAATGAATAAAGGAACGACGAAAGCCAATGGCCTTGTCACCGTTTGGACACAGCTGACCGCTCTGTTGCATCCGTCAGCGCTGAGGCTCACCCTAGGATGTTCACAGCCACTATACACCGGTGTGGAGAACTTAACAGCTCTTATCTGGTCCTTATCTGACCCAGTCAACCTCCTCCAACCTTCCAGATCTTTTCAGTCTGAAACTTGGGCAAAATCTCCTATATTCCTCTTCTTTGAACACCCCCTTCAACTTCCTGTGCTAACCACAAACCTGGCTGCCCCCAAGGACAGCATCCCGCAGACATGCTCTTTCTTCCCTCACACCCACACTCATGGCGCCTGGAGGTGGCAGGCTCTTCCTCACTCTTTCCTGCTGCATCTACACAGCTGTCCCTGTGCGCTCCCTCGAACCTCTGGCTCCTTTGACTCCTGGCATTACCCTCAGCCGTCTGCAAACTGCCCGTCCTTGTCGCAGACCACCGGGTGACTCACCCTCATTCCTTGAAGATTCAAACATCTGGCTCACTGTCTGTCTTTGAAGGCAGGGACTGATTGGCACAGAGTAGGTGCTCAGTACACATGTGTTGAATGAAATTAGACTTTCCAGGTAAGAAAATGCAGGCATGGAAGAATGGCAGGGCCAGGATCCAAGCGAGCACAGAAACTCATACACCTCTTTACTTAACCCATGGCTGCATCACTCCCCAGGAAGAAGTAACCAATCTGATGGGTCAGTTTCAAGAACACCCACTGGGAGTCCCTGAGGGTTCAAAGGTCAGCAGAGGACTGGATATCTGATGATATCAAGGAATTACTGTTAAATTTCCAGGTGCGATAATGGTATAATATTGAAAAAAATCATCCTTATCTTTTAGAGAAATTTACTGAAACGTTTATGGCTGGAATGATACGATGTCTGAGACTTCTTTCCCAATAACCAGCGGGGAGGGGAGGCACGGGAGGAAGAGCAGATTGAGCAACACTGGCCACATGCTGATACCTGGGGGAGGGAGTGACGGTACGTGGGAGTGCAGTATTTTACTCTCTATACTTTGAAGGTGTTTGACAAAGTTCGTGATAACAGAGTAAACAAAAAAGTCTGCCTGGACGCATCTCTCTCCTGGACCGGGCAACACCGCCTCTCTGGCGCTCTTTTCCCAATCTCTCCCCGGCGCACACAGCACAGGAGCCTGCAGTGCTCTCCTCTCTACGCCGCCTGCATTGTCCCCGGGCTGCGGCAGGATTCTGGGAGTCTCACCAGGACCCCTGACTCTGGATGCAGAGACCACGCTCGCAGAGGAGCCTTCCTTCTCACAGCTCTTTTCCCATCTTTATCTCTGTGCCCCCGGGGTTCTGCCCTGACCATCGCACGTCCTCCCCTGTCATCTCCCTGGGAAACCTCATCCGTGCCTCCCCTGTATCTGAACAAGCAGCTGTGCTCACGACCCACAGACCCTCATTTCCAGCCCAGATTTCCCTCCCATGGCAGACTCCTGTGTGAGCCCACTTCACTCTCTGGCTACTGCCCAGTCACTCGGGGCTGGTACATCTGACGGCCACTTCTCAGCACACATCTCCCGGGACTTCCTTGCAGTGCTGGACATTGTAGGCACTCCCTCCTTTGGTCTCCACGACCCTGCATCTTCTTTTTTTTTGGCCACGCCACACAGCTTACAGGATATTAGTCAGCAGTGAAAGCGCAGAGTCCTAACTGCTGGACCGCCAGAGAATTCCCCAAACCTGCAACTTCTAACCCTTCTCTACTCTCTCTCCTCCTTTATGTTTTTTGTTTTGTTTTAATTTTTTGGGTGCGCTGCGCAGCATGTGGGATCTTAGTTCCCCGACCAGGGATCAAACCAGCGCCCCCTTCTTTGGAAGTGTGGAGTCTTAACCACTGGACCGCCAGGGAAGTCCTCTCCTCCTTTATGAACGCCTCTGACACCCCTCACATAGCCCGCCGGCATTCGGTCCTCGGCCCACTGTCCTCACATCCCCAGGCGCTCACTGGGCCTGGAGAATGGACTGACCAGTCGGGTGGAGGTGAAGCAACGCTGGGGCCAGGGCACGGAATGGTCCACTTGCCTTCTGAAGACACCCTGATGTGACAACAGGGACCCTACATCCAAGCAACAGCATTTCAGTGACTTCCCTAGGGTGCTGAGAGGTAACAAGAGTAAGTAGGGGTGAAAAAATTAATATTAATAGCAGTGGCTAACACGTATGGGCACTTATCATGGCCAGGCCTCTTCTATACATTATCACAGCGACTCTTTCCCAGACCTAACATTACCCCTTGTATTGATAAGAAAAGGAAGATACAGAGCCAGGCTCTGAACCCAGGCCATTTGATTTCATCGCCAGCACTCAGCACTCCACATGGAGGTGGTGCAGCAGATGCCGTGAGCCTCAGAGCCAGACGGTTCTACAGGATGAGGAAGGGGGGCGGGGGCAATGGCCTGACAACTGAGATGTGGCAGGTGGCAGAAAGGGAACAGCCTCCACTAGGGCACCTCAGGGAAGGTGGTGTCCTTCCACCTCATTCCTGCATGGAGGCCACCTCCAGGCCTTGCTGATTGAAAATCCTAACCGTTTCTTACCTCTGTCTTCCCATCAGCACTGAACAGTTCCAGTGCAGGATCCTTCATCTCTTGCCTAGACTGCTGAGACAGTGTCCCAACTGGTTTCTGTTCTTGCCTGGAACCCTCTAGGTCACGCTGCAGCCACACTGACCCGACTACATGCTAATCTACAGCCTAAAACTGGTCCATAGCTCCCTCCTGCCTTCAGAGCAAAGTCCACGCTCCTTACCGTGGCAGAGAAAGCCCTTCGTGATCCGGCTACTGCCTACGTCTGCGGCCTCTCACCTCCTGCCTAAAACTTTTACATAAAGTATATATAAAAGGAATATGCAAGAGACCAAACATAGGAGTAAACAGAAGCCAGGGGGCAGGTAAAAGCAGTGAGAGCAGTTTGCAGTGGGTGCTGGCAGGGGATGAAGCAGCAGGAAGATATGTGAAGAGAGGCAGAGGCAGAGAGACCACCAGGGTCCTGGTGAAAATGAGGCAGGGCTGGAGCCACTGCTGAGGGGCTGAGACAGGTCAGGGGCTCTCCTGGACCCAAGATGAGATTTCCACTCCTGAACTCCATTCCAGGCAACAGGAGGCCCAGCTGTAAGGCTATTTCTGGCTTCTCAAGAGATTCCCAAGTCTCTCTTATTTCCTTGAAATAACTCGAAATTACTCGAGCCCGACTGAATGAACCCAAAAAGCCTAAGACAATATGGATGGGAACGGAAGCCAAGGATGGGGATGTGAATCTCCTGGGAAGCATGTGGAGTGAGAAGAGAGACTTCTAGGATGGAGCCCTAGCTAATGCTGACTCTTAAGGGATGCACCGAAATCCAGGACACGGAGGAAGAGAATGAGAGAGCCTTGGCGAGGGAAACAGGAGGAGCACTGAAATGACCGACTCAAGAGTCTAAGCAGGAGAGCGTCTCAGGAAGGGCCGGTCAACACAGAAAGTGTTTCAGAGCGATCAGAAAAGACGGGACTGACTGATGCGTGTCCCTTGGGCTCAGCAGCCTTGAGTCACTGGTGAACTTGGTGGGAGGCATGTCAGGTGAAGGGGGAAGCCAGGCTGCGAGGGGCGAAGGGGCAGCACCCCTGGGGCTACAGTTTTCTCCAGTTTTCTCACGGCGGAGGGGGTGGAGGAGGGAGGGAGGGAGGAGGGAGGGAGCTTTGGGGAGAATAGGGCCTGAACAGTGCAGCGGGGTTGGAGGCGGGCATGTGAGAGACTGATGAGCAGGGACGGGCGCTGGCTGAACCGTGAGTCTGCTCGGACTCCTGGAGACTGACACTAACAGCCCTCGCCACCCAGATGCAGGAGTAGAGAAGCTGCTCAAAGCACAAGCTCCAGATGCCCAGGGTCCAGGCTGGGAGCAGCGGGAGATGAGTGGTAGAAGCGAAGGGTGCTATAAGAGGCGTTTGGATTTTCCACATGGGCTCTTGCTGTGAAGGGAGAGGTGCCAGGAGAGGCTAGCTGACTGGGAGAACTTAAGGTACCTGAACATATGAATCACCCGGGAAGCAACTCTGGGTGCTAGAAAGCTTTAGTGCTTGGCCATGGGGAAGGGTGGAGGAGGTATGGGGGCATCCTGGCACGGAGAGGTAACGTCTGTGGGTTGTTGGAGGGGGTGAGGAGGTCCTCTGAGGGAAGAGGAGAATCGAAGCAGAGAGGAGGGCTGTGAGCTTGCTCCAAGATGGGCATGTGGTGGCTGGGGAGCAGCAAGGAGGAGGCAGGGGCTGGATGGACCAGGACAGGGAGAGGGCCAGGGAGGGGAAGTTCAGGGAGAAGGACGCTTGGTGGGCAGAGGCCTGCGGGCAGGGATGGATGTCTTCCAGGGAGCTCTGAGCAGCCAGACCCGAAGCTGGCGCGTCCCTTGACCATTCGTTTGTACACACGCAGTCGGAGGCTGTCCTTCCTGCTGACACTTACCCCTCCCTCGTCCTGCCCAGGGACTGCCCCCCGCCCAGCCCTGCACCTCTTTGATGGCTGCCATGCGCACAGTCTCGTAGTAGTGCAGGGGTGCATTGGGTGTGCTCATGTCGTAGCCGAAGCCTGCAACTGCCACCTCATCACAGCCGTGTAGTGCCATGGTCACTGCCACACTGCCGAGGGTCGGGATGTTCTGGATGGAGGGGAAGGGGGTTCCGAGTGAGGCAGAGACCCTCAGCGAAGCTCTCCAGAGCTGAGCTCTGCTCCTGAGAACTGAATCCTCTGTCCCCACCCTGCCGCCCTGTCCTTCCTTCCCAAGGCACCTCTGGCCCAGGTCCCCTTCTCCCTCTCCCAGGATCCAGACATCTCACCCCGCGGCCCATGAGGCCATTGTTGAAAGGCAGTCCGATGAGGGTGAAGGCGGCTTCCTGGATGAAATATGGGTTGAGGATGCGAATCTCAGGGGGTTCCTTGGGCACCCGAGTGGCCACAGATTTCCAGAAGCCATCTGACGCGCTCTGTAGACACAGCACAAGTGGGCATGAGCGGGCACACAGCTTGTGATGGGACTGGGTGAGTGGTGGGGACCCAAAGTGTGTACAGGCTAATGAGAAACAAGGTGGGGGGTGTAAGGTATATACAGGGAGCCTGGGGCATGGGGAACAAACACGGCTGGAGGACGGACGACCTGGTGGGTGCTGGGGGCACAGGATGTGTGGCAGAGACAAGGTACATGGTAGGGCACAGCAAGCACACAGTGGGGCCAGTGTGGATGGAGGATACCAAGTGAGCTGCAGGGCGGGGCACAGGGCTGTGCTCCTCTGACCTTGGGGGGGGGGGGTGGGTCTTGGGCCACGAGGAAGACCCAACGGCCCAGCAGTACCCCTCCCCTTCGCCGCTACTGAGGGGCCCAGGAGGAGCCTGCCCTCTCTCTCCTATCTGCTCTGCTGGGCTCGCCTCCTTTCCCTTCTGCTGAATTTCCTCGCTCTCAGTCAACTGTTCTAAAGTGAGCCTGAAAAATAAAGACAGAATGTGAGCTAGTATGGCAGAGCAGAAAACACACTCCAACCCCAGCTCTGCCACCGATGGAGCTGGGTGACTCTGGGCAGGCGACAAGCTCTCTAAGCTTCGGTTCTTTAATCGCAGAATGCGATGATTCTTCCCTGAGGGAGCTCAGTACCGGATTGGAAAGGCATCAGCTCTGAAACAAACCTGACACCCCAGGGTCCACTCCAGGGCCACAAATTCCTCTCCTTCTACCTCTCTCCCTTCCTCTAGTTCCCAGCCCTGCCGTTCTGTTCAGTACACGAGCCCTCCCTGGTCTAGTCCCTTGAGTATATCGCTTCAGCCACTCTCTCATGAACACACTCAACTCCCTGCCCCTTGCCATTCTATTGTCCTAGCCCAGGGGAACCATGAACTTGTATCAAGCCATACATCCACCTTTCCCACCCTTACAACTGGGCTCCTGAGTACTGCTGGAGAAAGTCACAAACCAACCCTGTGGGCTGGAGAGATGTCCCAGGGATGTCCCATAGCCTATGTAAGCAACCCCTCTGTTGCTGGACATCTCAGTTGTTTCTGGTTCCCCAACCTCTGCTGTCCACTCCTTCTTCCAAACCAGAAGCCTGGGAATCGACTTTGCATCCCTCTTCATCTCTCCAGCCCGTTCTGTCCTACTGGTCATCTGGGTCATTTCGATTCTATTTTCTATAGAATCCCACGGATCCATCCTTTCTTCCCAAGCCCACTGCTACCACCTAAAGTCCAGGTCTCACCATCTTTCAAATGGACTATTATAATGAGGCCATGTCCAGTGTCTGTCTTGTTGGCCACTAACCACCCCCAGAGCCCAGAAGAGTGACTGGAAAAGTACAAAATAATTGTTGAGTTCCATTCACCCAAAATGAGTGCCCAGAATGGGCCACCTCTGCCTCCCAAACCACTTTCTGCTCTCTGCCAGAATGATCTTTCTATATACAAACCGGATCACATCACCACTGCCCACAGGAGATCAGAGTTTTTTAGCCAGTAACCCTGCCTGCTGCTCCAGTTTTCATTTCAGCCCATCTTAAGTCCGCACCTGCTGATTCGTGCCTCCATTCTTTTGCTGATGCTGCTCCTTCTGTCTCTAATGGTCTCCCCGCCTCCACCCACCTGATCCACCCTACTTGTTTCTTAAGACTCGGCATCCTCTCCATTCTCATGTCTTTCCCGAATACCTTCACCCCAAGGTAGAAATGACCTCTAACCTTTGGGAAGTGATAAAATATGGAGTTAAGATCTGCTACAGGGGCTTCCCTGGTGGCACAGTGGTTGAGAATCCTCCTGCCAATGCAGGGGACACGGGTTTGAGCCCTGGTCCGGGAAGATCCCACATGCTGCAGAGCAACTAAGCCCGTGCACCACAACTACTGAGCCTGCGCTCTGGAGTCCATGAGCCACAACTACTGAGGCTGCGTGCCGCAACTACTGAAGCCTGCATGTCTAGAGCCCATGCTCTGCGACAGGAGAAGCCACCGCAGTGAGAAGCCCACGCACTGCAACACAGAGTAGCCCCTGCTCACCGCAACCAGAGAAAGCCCGTGCACGACAATGAAGACCCAACGCAGCCAAAAATAAATAAATAAAATAAATTTATATAAAAAAAGATCTGCTATGCTTTGAAAGTTTGTGGCCCATCCCCGCCCCCCAATTCACTTATGTTGAACACCTAATGCCCAAGGTGATGGTATTAGGAGGTGGGCCTTTGAGAAGTGATTAGGTCCTGAGGGTGAAGCCCTCAAGAATGGGATCAGCGCCCTTACAAAAGAGGCCCAAGAGATCCCTCGCTCCTTCCACCGAGTGAGGACATAATGATTTATGAACCAGGAAGCCCTCACCAAACACCAAGTCTGCCAGTGCCATGATCCTGGACTTCCAGCCTCCAGAACTGTGAAAAACAAAGGTCTGTTGTTTATAAGCCACCCAGTCTGTGGTATTTTGTTATAGCAACATGAGCTGACTAAGACAGAAGATCCTTGCGCCCAGATCCAAACTCAGCTCTGGTCACTCAACTGTGTGGAGGCCTTGGGCAAGAAAACTATCATTTCCCTATGGATAAACCAGGGATACTAAGGGTATTTATCTTGTGTTGTGAGAACTCAATGAGATAATTCAGGCTGAGTGCCCAGCTCACAGTCACTGGTCAGCTCCTATCACCACCGCCATTAGCCCCAGGGCAGGGGCTCACATCTGATTCACTTCTGTGGCCCAGCAGTGCAGCACCGGGCGCGGGTGTGTAAGGGGACATGAACTCCATCCCGGCTCCTCCACTGCCCTCAGCATCTCTTCAGGCTTGTCTTCTGCGGCCTTCAATGGACTGTCTGCTCCAGCCACCCCCTCCTCACGTCTCCCCATCTCTGGCAACACCTCTCTCTCGGGCAAATTCTATCCGTCCTCCAAGCGTCAGCTCAAAGGATGGGCCTTTAGGGCCAACTTCGCTGGGTCTCAGCCCCAGTGAGACGGGACAGCAGACCCCAGACCGGCTTCCTCCTGTGCCTCCCTCTGTGTCCAGAAGTGTGTGTGTAAGGGGGTAAAGGTCGGGACAGTGAGACCCAGCAGGAAAGGGAACGGTGGAGAAATGGCCAAGATCTTATGCAGAACTGGGGAGAAGCCCCTCCTGGGAGGATCAGATGTGTACTCAAAGGAATGGCAGGTACCAGCCTGCGCTGAGCAAAGCACAGCCCCCGTCCCTTCTCCAGAGCCCAGCAGGCCCCAACATCCTCCCCGCACCCTACAACCCCGGGTCCCTGCCCACGCCTGCCCACATACCCCTAAAGAGGAGGAAGGGCAGGGGCTGCTCGGGAAGGGAGGGAGAGGCAGTAATGGCACAGCTGGGGGTGTGGAGGCTACAGGCTGGTTTTCATAGATATTATTTATCTCTTCAACTTTCACCCACTTCACAGGTACGGGACCCAAGATGAAGCCATGGGTTCAAGGTCACGTAAGAGTCTGTACCAAGATGCAAACCCAACGTCGTGATGCCAGGATGGGTGTTCTTTCTGCCACACCATTTATTATCAGCACTGCTGTTCCCACCTCGGGAGGTCTGGGGGGCTAGTCAAGGATGGATGGGGGCTCCCTTCTACCCGCCAGAAGCGCTGAGGTGAGTTAGGGGTCACTCCGGTTGGTGCCCTGCATCCTGTTTCACAGAGGGGACTGAGGCTCAGAGAGGCGAGGGGCCTTGCCCCGAGGCACACACAGCTGGGGAGAATCTGAGCTGGATTCAACTTCAGAGCCTGAGTCTTTCTGTGACACGAGATTCCCTCTCTGAGACAACACCTCTTGGCTTATCCCATGTGCTTAAGGGTCCCATATGTAACCACCATGGGAAACGGTAGGAAATTAGCTTACGATCTCAAGCCCCTTTGAGAAGCTGACAAACGCACCAGGGTGGAGGGGAGGCTTCTGCCTCTCTTCCCATCTTTACTCTTTCCCAGGAGGAGAAAGAACTCATGTGACTTCTTGGATTTGAGGATACGTGTGTCACGTTTACTAGTAGGAAATGCAAAGTCGCAGGTACACATACAGCTCCTTCTGGCTCCTTGTGCCCAGGCAGCGGCGGGTACGCCAAGGCAGAGCTTGCCTCCCTGGAGCAGGCCCGGCATTCCAGTCCCTGCTCTGCTCACCTGTTCTAAGAGCGCTGAAGCTCCTACTGCCTTTGGGCAGAGAGCAAGATTGGGACGGGGTGGGAACGAGTCTTATGCTTGGGACTCAAGTCTCAGAGAGCCTGCATTAGGGCACTGGGACCCGGCACCGCTATTTTATTTTTCCCACCTGTCACTGTCCTGGTGCAGGGCCTCCTCAGGAATCCCAGGGAAAGGGGGAACAGGAAGACCAGGATCTGGCTGGGGCATCACTGTGTCAGACAAATACCAAGTAAACACGACTGCAGCCTGTCTCTCAAATAAAAGCCATGGCTCCCCGTCTCAGAAAAATCATACACAGGTACACACACACAACACGCCACACACCACTGCCAAAGGGAGCAGGGTCCCTAGAAGCGAGGGCATTTGGCGACTTGAGATTGAGAATCTCTGGGTGGGGCAAGAAGAGAGGAGAACCTTATAGACACCAACACTGAAGGGGTCGGTGGGAGCAGCGGAGCCTGCGGAGGAGACTGAGAACCAACAGTAAGAGCGATGAGGCGACGCAGGGAGGGTGTGATACCACGGGAGACTGTGGGCCTCGGAGTCTGGGAAACCCACGTCCACATCCAGATTCCGCATCTGTGCAACCAGGGCGTGTCACAGGACTTCTTCAGGCCTCAAGTTCCTCGCGCATAACGGGGACGTCAAGCCCACTTCCCAGACAGCCGTGACGATTAAATGAAGTGCTGTGCATTTTACAGCATCCGGCCCCATGTCTGCCACATGGCGAGGGCTCAGTAAATCTTGTCTGTTATGATTCTGAGCGTCACAGAAGCCGAGAGTGAAGCAGAGGGTGTGGGCAGCAATGTTAGAGGCCACACACAGGC